GACACTGTCACACAGACATACACGCAGGCAAAACACCAGTGCACATAAAATAAAAATAAATAAATAATTTTTAAAATAAGAAATGGCAGTCATGGGAAACTAACTCTTTTTATGAATCAGCAGGTTTACGTTTTCTACAAACAATGCAACAGAAATGCCACAAGTAGAAGTATAAATATGAATGATTGTATTAATGCCCACCATTCAGGGTAGTTTCTAGAAGCCAGTTATTGTTCTGGTTCATTTTCTCATCATTTAAAGTGACACCTCTGGTTGTAATGGAGCTTTATTGTTTTGTTTTGTTTCCCTTAACTTCCATATGAGAGGTGATTCATTCACCTTCCCTCAAAGCTGTGCAGGTAACAGTGCCAGTCTCCCCTCCCTGCCCTTGTGTCCCCCAATGGCTTTCCTGCCATTGCTTCTTGATTGGGAGAAGCTCCAGGAAGTGAAAAGGTTAAGCCCCCAGGGCCATGCTCTGCATTCCAGATCCCTGGCAGATGTCTTCTGACATCTAGTCCTAAAATGTCTGGTTGACTTGTAGTTGGGAAAAGTGGCTGCAGACACCTTTGGTAGGAATGCACAGAGTGAGCTTTCATTCACCAGATGTTGCCAGAGTTCCTGCCTGTGCACTTTCCTCCTAATTTAAGAACAGTTGGGAGTGGATTTTATATGTTTGCTTATTTTTAAGTCTTGTGCTTAGAAATATAGTTAGTTCCTTATAACTACCTGACTTCATTAAGTAAAACCAGTTAGGTGGAAGGTTTTGTGAAATGTGCACATTCATTTAAAAAAAAAGGAGTAGTTTACCAATAGACATCACAGATTTAAAGATGTTTGTGTCTTCCTGTTTGTTTGTGGTATGTGTTGAACTTTCTGGAATTTGGTAACTGAACTTAGAAACTATTTCTCATTAATCATATTTCCCTTTGTCTCTGTAGATCAGTAGTTCATCAACTTTCCTAATTCTGCAACCCTTTAATACAGTTTTCATGTTGTGATGACCCCAACCATAAAATTATTTTCATTGCTACTTCATAGCTGTGATCTTGCTACTATTATGAGTTGTAATGCAAATATCTGATATGCAGGATATCTGTGAAAGGGTCATTCTACCCCCAAAAGGGTTGTGACCCACCACTCTAGATGGCTAAGAGTCCACCCATGTTCTTAAAAAGAGGCTGTGGTCTGTGCAAAAACTCTGCTCAGTTGTATTAACTGTGGAGTCAGTGTTTGCTCCTTCTTGTATTCCTCTCTTTGTTGAGGCTGCGTGCTGCAGTGAGTTGATTCTCACATTTGTTCTTACATACTTTTCCTTCCTGGAAGTTTCTTGACTTGGGGGAGGGGAGATACTTAGAGATCTTAGGGGCCTTTGTGTGCCTGACAGTTTTTTGGGAGCTTTATGAGCCTCTCTGCAGTTCTCACATGTTAGGTGTATATTTGACCATCTTTCCTGTCTGCATAGTTGTTGTCCTGCCTTGCTCAGGTTCCAATACTCACAGGATGACCCCGGCACATACAAGTTGTTCAGAGCTTCTACTGTTAAAGCCTTTATTTCCTAAAGCCTTAGAAAGCCTAAGCTGGTGGAGAAATGTTCAGTCTTTCTAACAATACAAGGCCAAGTAATGCCCTACTTTATGCCTCAGTCTCTACTTCTGGTTTTCTCTGTCTAAAGTCTACTGGTGTTGGTATCTGGCTCATCTTCATGGCTAGGTCACTCTCATAGATGAGGTGTCACCACTTTACAAGCAGGTTTCTCGGGCGAACATCTAAATCACTCCAGTAGATACACCATCCTGTTTATTTCTTTCACAGGCATTACCATGTACTATGATTATATTTTGATTGCTTCCCTTCCTTTCTCTCTCATTCTCTCTATGCTGTTGATTAGGGCTTAGTTGGAGTTGGTGTCAGTGTAGAGGTGGAGTAGATAGATAAATGGAATTAGTTCCAAAAGATGTTTTGCCTTCTTCACATACATTTTTTAAAGCAAGTAGTTATTGGTCATTTGAGGAATAAAAGAGTGGAAACAGTTCTTGTGGTAATTTGGAAAGCTCTGAACTCCAAATAGCTGTGGTTTCTGCTTCACCTGGATTTTGCCAGCCTCTGGCAGTTGGAGCTATGACATAGAGAAGTTGGGGAATGGTGTATCAGCTCAAAGCAAGAACCTTTCACACCAATTGGCCTCTTCTCTGGTGATCTGCTGGTGTGCTGCTTCACCATTGGTCCCCCAAGGCCATAGGATGTCCTCTTTTGGGAAGAAGCTTCTTGTGTCAGAATACTCTGCCTTCCGTCCTCTGGCTGCTCTGCCAGCCCTGAGCTGCTGCTCCTTTCTCCTCAGCCACTAGAGAGGAGTAGATATTTTGTCCCCAGGAGACCTTAAGTGGGTCAGAATAACACATGTATCTCATTAACCCCCAAAATCACACTGGCCTCAAGGCAGATAATGTATTCCATTCTGATATACTCCCTGAGAGGCCTAACTTCATTATCATCAAATATCCACAAGAGATACTCCATATTTGATCATTAATTCTAACTCAGTATCAAATTTCCAGAGAATCTTGAAAACCCAGAGATGATATTTCAAGTCCAAAGACATTAAAGTTAAATCATTTGTCCATGTGTATAAAGAAGTGTAATTTCCAAGTGTATTCTGCCTGATTTGAGTCTGCTCTGGCTGTGTGAATGCTGTCCTACCTTAGTACTGTGTATGCTCTTGAGTTTCTTCAGGTTTTTGTATTCACCATTCCATGTCAAACAACCAAGATTACTAAGGTAGTTTCTTGCTCAGCCCAATACTATTCCCAAAGGAGCTTGCTCTCCTGTTGGGTCTATATGCTTTGCAGTGTTTCTCCAGCATCACTTGCTCCTGTGGGACAGAAAGGAAAATAGATAATCAGTTAGCTGCCCTGTGTCTACACTGTTTCCAGGGCCCAGATGTTTGTTTAAGCTAGGCTTACTGTCTTGTAGGGCAACATTACCATGTAAAAAGAAAGTGTTGACTGAGCTCGGCTCCTCCAGAGAACTACAACCTGTGACTCATTTATTATGGGTTTACAATCAGTTCCTAACATGTTAGGTAAAGAAACAAACAACTTCCTTATTTTATGAAGTGCTAACAGAAGAAAACTCGTTAATTTCCTAATTGTTCTCTTCCCCAGATAGTCACTCTACACATGTAGCTGCAGCAGTAAACCTGAGCTCTGTAATAACAAATTCTGTTGTCAGGCCCCCCCTTGGGAAGGTGTTACATTTATGTCTGCTGTTCCAGTGACCTTACCCTGTGTTCATTCTCAAGTCTATAATTATGTATTTGTCATCTATGTCTAGAATAGTCCATGTACATTGAAAAAAGTCAATGGGTTTCTATAAAAAGTTTCCTGTAGCCTTTTTAAATGCAGCCCTGTGAGTGAGGTGTTTACCTAGGAGTCCACAGCTTCAGTGGAGCTATGATGTTTAATAAATCTTTCATTTGCTTGTATAGCTTGCTTAAATTTCAGTATTTATGTGTGATTTCATTTCTATCAAAATCTTACCAACTTGATAGACTTTAGAATTTTACCTTTTTCTTTAATATTTGTCTTACACTGAATAAATCCTGAATGTTTTTTTCTCCCTCACTTATGAGAAGTTGGCAGTTTAATACCGTGCAGAATGAAAGTATGCATTTGGACCTGCTGAAAATATACTTGCTTCCTTAGACTTCCAGAAGTTCCTATCCCTTGCTCTAGTCAGTCAGCATCATAATCCAATCTAGTCCATAGATATGTTTTCTTTGAAGTAGACTTTTACATCCCATTTTATAGATAAGAAAACTGAGTTTTCAAGGCTCCATAACATGCCCAAGGTTGGCATCCTGGCCAGATGTGAGCTCCTATCCTGTCTCCCCTGTCTGCTGATTCCTAAATAGCTGCTCAGGCCCCTAACCTTCAGCTTGTGTTCACCCCTGGTCCATGCTGACACCTGCAGTCCCTGATACTCCACTCTGGAAAGTTGTTTTTGCATTAAAATGCTAATCCTGCTGGGAGGTGGTGACAGCATGCCTTTAATCCCAGCACCAAGTAGAGAGGATGAGGATGGCCAGGCAGTGGTGGCGCACACCTTTACTCCCAGCACTCGGGAGGCAGAGGCAGGCCTATCTCTGTGAGTTCAAGACCAGCCTGGTCTACAAGAGCTAGCTCCAGGGCAGCTTCCAAAACCACAGAGAAACCCTGTCTTGAAAAACAGGGGGGCTAACCTTTGCACCTATATTACAAATCTGTAATATCCTACAAATATTTTTTCTCAGTTTTCATTTGTCTTTTTTTAAATGTCAAATGTTGAAACATTTTAATTTCTGGACATCAGTCTTAGTTAGAAGAGACCTTTTCCTGTTTTCATTGTTAAAAAAAAAAGGTTCTGATCTCTATTTTGGTAGCATTTCTTTCTTCTTAAATTAAAACTCAGATAGGGAGTTCGTCCTTGAAAGGCAACATTGGAGTGTAATTTACTTCTGTTCTTTTTTTTAAATACGACTGCCCAAATGTCATACCTGTCTTAAGGAAGAGTGAAAAGATTAAAGTTATCTCTGTGCTCACATGTCTGCTTTTCTGTTGTGTGTGTTTTGTGCATCTTTCTGCATGTGGAGACCAGAGGGCAACTTCCAGTGCTATTCCTTGGTATCACCCACCTTAGTTTTGAGACAGAGTCTCCTTGATTGTGAAGCTCAAATAAGCTAGATGGTTCACTGTCCTTGTGCTGGCTGGGATTATAGGTGTGCACCATTGTGCCTGTTTTTTTGTTGTTGTTGTTGTTATTGTTTTTAAAAATGGATTCTAAGGGTCAAACTCAGCTCTTTATGGTTGCAAAATATGCACTTTACTGACTGAGCCATCTATCCAACCTCTATAAATCTGCTTTTATATGTTATAGGTGAAACAATATTATAATCAGGAAATTAGGAAGGTGAAAGGAGTCATCTATTCTATGATCCTGACCTTGTCCATTTTCTCTCCCTTTAGGTGAACGAGCTAGATGGCATTCCTCTGATCCTGGACAGCAGCAACATCGATGACAACAACCCCTGTATCCTTGAATAAGACCCACAACCAGGTGCTGTAGCCTGGCTTGTCTGTCTTGGTGTTTGTTCAGTATTTAAGATGGCTAGCTCATAGTATAATGGGCTAATTTTCAAGGTAACCAGGACCTCTGAAGACAGCATGTGGCTAAAATGTGTGACAGAGACAGCTCATCCCCCTCCTGTGCTGTATATAATCTTCCAAAGTATGTGTGTGGTCCTTGGAATATGCATAAAACAATGGGCTTGTTTTCGCTGTAGAGTTAGCACTGTTAACAAAGGCTTGACAGAAGCATGAGCAGCATTCTGCACTTTAGCAATAAGAAACGTTAGTTTCCTTGTTTAAAGGCCCTGTCCTGCAGACCCCTTCTGCTGAGGTGGGATCTCTGCCCCTTCTTGGGTTGTTGTTCATCCTCCCTAGCTAGTGTTCTGCGTGAGATCCTGATTATTTCTTCACTGCACCAAGTCATGATACCAAATAAAGCTAATTTAGTACAATGATTAGTCAGGGACCTGGTGCAACCTCTTTAGGTTTGAAATGAAACCTATTTAATTATAAGAACATACGTGATGAGCCAAATTCTGTCTTGCCCTTTGCTCTGGGTCCTGCATGGCCTATGCTTTTGCATTAGAAAGAGGAATCCTTGTGAAACTGAAAGTTGAGAGAGTAAGACTTGGTTGGACAATGAGGAACCCAGCCTAGGATGAACTGGGGTGTTTTATCCAGGAGAACCTTCCTTTGGGGGCTTCCGTCAAGAAGATAATCACACATTTCAGAGGAAAGTAAACAGAGAAATGCTTAATGTTTTTGCTAGAAATACTGCCATTTGCCTAATTTACAATATTAAAATCTTAAAGAGCACAGCAGCTCGTGAGATCAGGAAAAGCCAAATCAAGAGCTTTAGAAGACCCTTCTTCGAGGCTCAAAAGATATGCATTGTCTTCAGTCACTATATAGTATTCAGAGGATACTTTTTAGCTCAAAGAGAAAAGAAAGATGAAAGAAGAGTGTTTTCCTTGGTGGGGGCAGTAGAAGTTGCAGATGTCTTTCCAGTGAGAGAGCCAGCTCATCTTGACCAAGACTCTACCCACAGTTTATTTTCATGCTCCCTAAACTGAGGGTGAATAAAGGCTTTTAGCATTGCTACTTGTTTTTACTAGAGTCCAAAGGGGAATGTTACAATGTGCTTTGGGGAGTTGTCTTCACAGTATTTTCTCCTTTGTTTAATCTTTTTGTATTTCCACATGTTATGACTTTACTCAATCCTGACAACACCTGAAGCAGATGCTCATATGATCAGACCCCATTTTGTAGATGTGGAAATAAACCAAAAGTCCCAATCACTTGTCCTAAATGTCAGCCAGAACTTAAGCTTGTGAGTAACTGGTTCTCCTGGACTGTCTCCATAGGAGTTGCTGAGATGAGGTGAGCATATGCGTCTAGTCATATGAACATGTCCATGCAGTAGAAAAGTTACTTTAAAGCATATCATAGATATCCATGTAGACAGCTGGCCTTTGTAGTGATAATGTAGCATTGTAAGACCCTCAATTCTCCTCTAAGTCACTAAGAAAATTGAATATGATAAGCAGTTTTAATGTGTTTGATGTTTCTTTGTAGTTTCATTTATTAGTCCCACCAGATTTTAAGGTCACATAAAGTATGTTTACAATAGAATGAACTATATCCTGAAATAATCAGAACAAAAGGCAAACAATGTTAAATTTTCAGAAATGAGGAGGCATTATACCCTAGTGATTTATTTTTCAGTTGTAAGCTGTAAATTAAAGTCTGGTTACCAAAGCAAATAGAGAAATATTGTGCATCGTGTTGCCCACCTTACCATGGGTGTAACTGCACATGTGTGTAGTACCCACAGAGACCAGAAGGTGTTACTGATCTCCTAGAATTGGGTTACAGACAGTTGTGAGCTGCTGCGTGTGGGTGCTGGGAACTGAACATGGTCCCCAGTGAGAGCAGCTAGCTTTCTTAACTGTTGAGCCATCTTTCCACTCTAGCCCCATATACTGCAATAGATATCTTTTGGTACTGCCTGCTTACTTCATGGCTTGAGCATTTAGCTCTTGTATACTGCCATCTCACTTCCCTTGGAGGTTCAGCACTGCAATTAAGTCTTCAGATCCCATTTCCCATTCCCCATTACTAAAGGGACTGAGCATCACCTAAAATGTTTAATTGGCCAGGAAGTGATAGTGGACACTTGTAACCCATTACTCAGAAAGCAGATATAGCTAACCACTTAGCAAGATCCTGCTTCATGAGACAAGCAGAAAACCAAACCTTTATAAAAACAACATGTTCAGACTGGAGAGATGGCTCAGAGGTTATGAACACTGACTGCTCTTCTGGAGGTCCTGAGTTCAATTCCCAGCAACCACATGGTGGCACACAACCATCTGTAATGAGATCTGGTGCCCTCTTCTGGCCTGCAGGGATACATGGAGGCAGTGTTATATATATAATAAATAAATAAAATCTTTAAAAAAATGTTCACTTGCCATGTGAATTGTATGTGTTATATTTGTACTTACACACAAAACATAATTTTTGATGAAGCTATTTGTACATTCTTACATTGTACTATCTCTCACTTTTATTATTTGTGTGTGTGTATGTGTTATGTATATGTTTATGTGAGGGGTGCATGTGTAAATGGGTATGTACAAGTTTGTGTACAAGTATGTGAAGTCTAGAGCTTTTACATTGCATTTTTTTTCAGTTACTTTCTACCTTATTTTTTGTTGTTGTTTTTTGAGAAAGGGTCTCTCACAGAACTTGGCATGACTAGATTTGGCTAGGCCTTCTGACCATTGAGCTTCAGGGACCTACCTGTCACTGCTGCCCCTATTCCCCAGCACTGTAGTTACACATGATTTTGTATTGATCCACACACATCTCCATTATTGGACACATCATGTATGAACACAGGTTAGATGTGTCTGTAGACAGTTTTACTTCTACTTTGGTATGATATGTATATATGCATGATTTTGTATGTTTCTGTAAACCCTAGGGCTCACAAATGAGAGAAAACATGTCATCCTTGTCTTTCTGCAACTGATTTAATTTGCTTAATATGACTGTTTCCATTTACATCCATTTTCTTACAGAAAACCTGACTTCCTTATGATTGAAAAATTCCATTCTGTACATACACCACAATTCTCTATCCTTTCTGCTGGAGGACTATAGGTTGGTGCCATAATTTATCTATTATGAGCCGTGCTGCAGTAAACATTGATGTGCAAGTATCTCTGTGATGTATTGACTTGGAGTCCTTCAGATAAATACCCAGGAGTGGCATGGCCATGTCAGCTACTAGCTTTGCTTTTAGTTTTTTGAGGAACCTCCATTCTGGTTTTCATAGTGGATGGACTGGTTAAATCCCCAATATAATTAATAATAATATAATTAAGAGGGTTTTTTGTTTTTGTTGGTGGTGTTTGTTTTGTTTTTGCTCATATCCTTGCCAGTGCCTGTAGTTCTCTGAGTGCTGTTCTCACTGGGGTGAGATGGAAACTCATTATCTTTTGTTTGTTTTTTGCATTTCTCTGATGGGCACAAGTGTTAAAACATTTTTTTCCATATATTTATTGGCTGATCATACTTCCTCATTGAGGATTGTCTGCTCACTTCAAGCTCATTTAACTGAGTTGTTTGGTATTTAGTTTTTAGAGTTCTTTGTTACATTCTAGGTATTAATCCTCTGTCAGATGTATACTCAGCAAAGATTCCTCTCATATTTTGTAGGCCATTCTGCACTTGATGAATTATTTCTGTTGCTGGTCATAAACTTTTATTTTCACGGGTCTTGTTTGTTAACTGTTGGCATTATTTCCTGAGCAAATGGAATACACAACAGAATCTTCCAATCACAGGAGCCTTGCTCCTTTTCTTAGGTAGTCCAGGACCTCTAAGACCCCCTCCCATGCTCTAGCTATGCTGTGTTTAGTTCTGTATTTGGAACCTCATAAAATGTCTTTATAGGCCAGCAAAAATGGGTCAGCAGGTAAGGAAGGGGGCTTGCTGCCAATCTTGGCCACTTGAGTTTGATCCCTGGAATAAATTCTCCCCTACTCTCTTCTTCAGTGGCTCTTCCTTGTCTCCTTTGTTGCTGCCTTTTCTATAACTTAAATGTTGATGTGTACCTAGATTTCCTGGTACCTAGAACTCTCTTCTGTTGTCTCTGGCAGTGTTGATTGAATGTCTTTTACATATCTGACACTGGTCCAGGCCTTAGGAAAGACAGGGCGACACCCAGGAAGGTGGTTGATGCCTTCCAAGCACGAGGTGGTAAGTGGCATGGCTCAGACTGGTATCAGTGCTGATCTGTGTGTGGTCATAGTTCCCATCGCCTGTGCACTCTTAGGGCAAACTTCATAGTGGGCATCAACTCCCCATTTCTCACTCCCAAATTAGTAGGTCCAAAACTAAATTTAAAACTGACCCTCTCTGCCCCATTCAGAGAGAAGACATGGTCACTCATGAGTCTCCTTTTTAATTCTTCCTATGTGAAATGTTACCATGTCTTGATTCTTGCATTTATTTATTTTTATTAATCAGGAGGCAGAGCAACTCTAAACCCAAGAAAATTTCCCCAAGGGTTCTTCAATTGTTAAGTGAATCTCTATCCTAGGTTTGGCAATATTTTGAATTTGTTTGTTTTAACTGATTTCTTCAATCATTTAACGTAACCAAGCTTTTAATCAAACTTTAGACACCTTGTTCTGCCTCTCCCTCTCTGTTTTTATTTTTCTGCTTCATGTGTGCGTGCGAGCTCGCGCGCGTGCGTGTGTGTGTGTATGTGTGTGTGTGTGTGTGCTCTCACATGCACATGCATGCACATGGTACACACACAAAATACATATTTGGATGTGCCAGATAAACTATAAACTGGGTGTGTGGTGTTCTTGAGCATCTGCCAGGTATTGGGGTGGGTCCTGAGATTCTATAAATGTCTATCCTTTCCCATGAGAATTCCATAGA